GCGGCCGCCCCGTGGCTGGCCCTCGCAGGCCCGGGCTCCGGGGACCGGGGCGGGCTGGCGGGAACGGAGCGCGCGCGGGCTTACTTGGGTCACTCGGGGAGCCGGCGGCCGCGGCCGCGGGCCCGCAGCTGCAGCGCGGGGCGGTCATGGCTTCGGCCGCGCGGGACGAGCCCGCGCCGCGCCGGCCCGGCGGCCGCCTGCCCGCGCCCCCGCTCGGGGCGCCTCGGGTGGCCTCCGCCGGCCGCCGCGGGGCCGGGGGGCGAGGCCAGGACCGCGGGGAGCCCCGGGCCGGCGGCGGAAGTGCACTCGGCGCGCCCCGCGACTTTGAAAGCCGTGCCTGGGACCGCTCCTTGGAGACGGCGACGCCGCTTGCGTCATCACGGGGCGCCCGCGCCGACGTCACCGCGCCGCACGGAACTCGCACGCTATTGGCTGCGTGTCCAGCGGGGGCGGGCGCGTCGACGCCAGCCTGAGTGTCGGCCCCGGGGTCCGTGCGGCGTGTCCGGGTCCGGGCTGGGGCTGGGGCTGGGCTGGGGCTGGGCTGGGGCTGGGGCTGGGCTGGGGCTGGGGCCGGGGCCGGGGCTGGGGCTGGGCTGGGGCTGGGGCTGGGGCTGGGCCGGGGCCGGGGCTGGGCTGGGGCTGGGGCTGGGGCTGGGCCGGGGCCGGGGCCGGGGCCGGGGCCGGGGCCGGGCTGGGGCCGGGGCTGGGCTGGGGCTGGGGCTGGGCTGGGACTGGGGCTGGGGCTGGGCTGGGGCTGGGGCTGGGCTGGGGCTGGGGCTGGGCTGGGGCTGGGCTGGGGCGGGGCGGGGCGGGGCTGGGGCTGGGCCGGGGCTGGGGCTGCGCTGGGGCCGGGGCCGGGGCTGGGGCTGGGGCCGGGGCCGGGGCTGGGGCTGGGGCCGGGGCCGGGGCTGGGGCCGGGGCCGGGGCTGGGGCTGCGCTGGGGCCGGGGCTGGGCTGGGGCCGGGGCTGGGGCTGGGCTGGGGCCGGGGCTGGGCTGGGGCCGGGGCTGGGGCTGCGCTGGGGCCGGGGCTGGGCTGGGGCTGGGGCTGGGGCCGGGGCTGGGGCTGGGGCCGGGGCTGGGGCTGCGCTGGGGCCGGGGCTGGGGCTGCGCTGGGGCCGGGGCTGGGGCTGGGGCTGGGGCTGGGCTGGGGCTGGGGCTGGGGCTGGGGCTGGGGCTGGGCTGGGCTGGGGCTGGGGCTGGGCTGGGGCTGGGGCTGGGCTGGGGCTGGGCGGGGCGGGGCCGGGGCCGGGGCCGGGGCCGGGGGCGGGCTGGGGCCGGGGCTGGGGCTGGGCCTGGGCCTGGGCCGGGCTGGGGCTGGCCGGGCCGGGCTGGGGCTGGGCTGGGGCCGGGCTGGGGCTGGGCTGGGGCTGGGGCTGGGGCTGGGGCTGAGGCTGGGCTGGGGCTGGGGCTGGGGCTGGGGCTGGGCTGGGGCTGGGCTGGGGCTGGGGCTGGGGCTGAGGCTGGGCTGGGGCTGGGGCTGAGGCTGGGCTGGGGCTGGGGCCGGGGCCGGGGCTGGGGCTGGGGCTGGACGGGCTGGGGCTGGGGCTGGGCTGGGGCTGGGGCTGGGGCTGGGGCTGGGGTGGGGCTGAGGCTGGGGCTGGGCTGGGGCTGGGCTGGGGCTGGGGCTGGGCTGGGCCTGGGGCTGGGGCTGGGGCTGGGCTGGGGCGGGGCTGGGCTGGGGCTGGGCCGGGGCTGGGGCGGGGCTGGGGCGGGGCTGGGGCTGGACGGGCTGGGGCTGGGGCTGGGGCTGGAAGGGCTGGGCCCGGCTGGGGCTGGGGCTGGGGCTGGGGCTGGGACTGGGACTGGCCGGGCCGGGGCTGGCTGGGCTGGGGCTGGGCGCGCTTTCCTAGACCTGCTCTCGAGCCTGGGACCTTGTCTTTTAAGTTGGCAGAGAACAAGCGGGTTATAAAGTTAACTGCACGGTTATAAGATCTATTGGCTTGAATGAAAGCCAACGGTCCTAGTTATCAGTGAGTGGCCCTTGTATTAACTGAATAGAAAAATGAGAGTGTTATGCGTGGACTTGAATTATTTGGATCGCACGATCTGTTTTTAAACATTACAAACAGTAGTTTTTCTGTTTTGTGTCTATGTGGTTACAAGACAGTCCCCCCGCCCCCCTCTGTACTGGGGATAGACCTAGGGCCTTGCACAGGTGTTTACATTTCAGCTAAGTCCTAGCTCTGCTGGTTCGATTTTAATGGAATATTTTTTTAAATAACTTTCATCATTAGTAAATGAAATAGTGACACTTATCCTTGTAGTGTCCCCAGTAGTGTTTCTCCTTTTAGTATCATCCCCTGTCCTCAAGATGGGTGCTACCTAATACTTAATAGCTCTTCTGGCAGTCTTTATTCTGTATGTTTTGTTATTATTGTTAATTTATCTCCAGGCCCCACTTTAATCCCTGGTAGACAATAAAAAGTTAATGAATATCTGATGTAGAAATTAAACTAAGTTTAAGTAGTCAAGGTTCAAAGTCATACAGAAAAGTTAGGATTTGAGCCCAGAAAATAGGTCTTTAATATCATAGTCATTAAGCAGTATTTATATACTTCTCAGAAGTATAATTTATGGTTAGTATAATGTACTTTGTGGGGTTTTTTGCTTATGTCTATAGATTCAATAAATGAATTAGCGCTGTCCATGTTCTATTAACCATACAGTCGATTTTCAAGTCTTTGCACAGTATTTATATTGCAGAGTCTTCTTTGTTCTAAAAATCTACTCAAGCAGTAGAATAGTTAAGCAAGATGTCAGCTGTTTATTTGTGTTCCTTCAACATTTTTCCTAGAAAAGCAAGTGTCTGCGTCAGTGGGGCATCGCCTGGCCTAAAGTGATTCCTGCTGGGTGAAGACTGCAAGTACTTATCCTTCTGGGTGACACTGCTGCAAGTGCTGGACTGAGCTGGACTGAGCTTGCTCCCGGCAGGTCTGGCTCCCTTCCTGTCAGCCCTTCTCCCAGGGGGTCCCTGACATGTTCCTTCTGGCACCGGAGGCACTTTCCTTAAACTTCCTCATCTTTTCCTTTCTCCAGTAAGTGGATGGGGCATGGAAGAATGCACACTGTAAAGAAACAATGATTGTAGAAAAAGGAATGAATGGTCTGTCCACAGAATTATTTCAAATGTTTCCTTGCAACTTTGATGAAACACACACACACAAAACACCTTTTTAGCGGTTTTTTCTTTTAAACTTCGTAGAATATTTTTTTAATATGCTGTTCTTCAGCTCTAGGGTTCAGTCTCCTTCCCCTCCCCCAACTTCATGTCCTTTGCCATAGTAAATTAGGTAAAGGCAGTGATCGAAAAATTATCTGTTTTATTTTTTTGATGAGTATTAATTTTGAGAAGGTAAAAAGTGGAAAAAAGTAAAGATAAACCAGTAACATTATTACTACTTTTTAATTGATTTTGCCAGTCCTGGGGCTTGAACTCTGGGATCCTTTTGCTCAATGCTAAAGCTCTACCACTTGAGCCACAGCTCCACTTCTGGCTTTTTCCTTGACTAATTGAAGGTATGAGTCTCATGGACCCTGCCTGGGCTGGCAATCTTCAGATCTCAGCCTACTGAGTAGCTAGGATTCCAGGCATAAGCCACTGGCACCTGGCTTTCAGTAACATTATTTTAAGAAAGACCAAATACTCAGTATAAAACTGTCCATTAAGATGATCCCTTGATAATATTTATTCTAAAATTTTGGAAATGTTCAATCATTATACTATTTAAGAGATTTATCCTTAAAAGTTGTTCATGTATCCTTAACTAGTAAGGCATATCATGCTTGAAAAGTCAAATAGTTGGAGAAAAGTGATAAAATAAGGCTCTCTTCTTCCACGTCTGAGACAGCTACATCTTCTAGAATAGCACGGTGTGCACCATTAGTTTCTTGTAGGTGGCTGGTTACATGTGCTTCCTTGCACATGTGTAAGTATTCATCACAAGTATGTACACAAATTAGCTTCCTGTTTATTCGGTGATGTTTTCTGCACCTTATGTTTTTCATGTCACAGTCTAATTTACATGTGCTTACACAACTCCTTTCTTCATTTTAATCACTATGCAGTATTGTATAATACAGCAAATTTTCCTTATAGTCATCCTCTGAAGGGTATTTACGCTTAATTTGAATTTTTTTTTATTCTAAATAATGTAACTACTAATGTCCTTCTGCTGTGTCATTTTGATTATATCCAGATATAACCACTAAAACTAGAATTATTGAGTAAAAATGGACGTTTACATTTTTATTTTGATAGATACTGGTATGCTGCACCTTCAGATGTGACGGTATACCCCAGCAGCTGTCTGTGCCACTCTTAATGGTCTCCTTACACTGTGTTACCAGACTTCCTGTGTCTTACCAACTAAGTGAAAACTTGTTTTCTTTGCATTTCTCTTTCTTGGAAACAGGTTTCTGTTGGGAATGTTAATCTTTTCCTTAGTAATTTCTAGGATCCCACAAGGCATTAAAAAAATCAGTTTTGAAATATGAGGTACACAGTTGCTCCATACTGTCATTGATCTGTGAAAAGGCTCTTTTTGGTGTGGGAAGGGAAGCTGATGCTTTATATTTTTTAATATGGTCAAATGATTAAGTTTCACTAAGATTTTGATATTAATATCTTGATTCTGAAAGGATCTAGTAACTCAGATACCTTCGAACTGGTCAATGAAAAGACAAAGTGTAAAATATATACTCATGGGCTTAAAGTTTTAGTTAAGTGCATTGACATTTCTGTAGTAGATTCAAAGTTATTTTAGTGCTCCCTAGAAGGACTCCAGAGCTTGATCTACGTGAAGTCTTCCAGCGTTAGAATTTCAGTCTGTGATTTGTCACCACACAGATGGCTCTTGGTTTGCTAGGATGCTTTTGTCATCCTGTTCCTCTCCTGTCTTCTATTTGACATTTGAAATTTCATTTATTTTGTAACTAAAAGAACCTTGTATATTGTTAAGGAGTTTGTTTTCATTTGCTTCTTCCTCTAGGAAGTCATCAGATGGATTTTGAAAGTGAACACACTTGACACGGCTTTCCAGTGCAGCATGAGCCGGTTTCTGTTGGGCTGCATCCAGTTGAGGGAGGTGTGATGATGGCAGTCAGTGCTCCACTTTTCAATGACCCGCCTGCACCCCTTGGAGAGCCAGGAGAGCCTTTCAGTGAGCTCTGGAACTATGAAGGCAAGCAGAAGTTCTGCGTGTTATTACAAGCATAAATCTTTTTATAATTACCTCCCGTATGCAGTTGCTTTTTTGTCTAACCGCTAGGGAGTGAGTGCTTCTGAGCAACTGGTATGTGCAGTTTCCGATATTTCCACCAAGTTCTTACCACAACTTTACCTCCATTACCTATGTGAACTCTGTGTGTAACTGGAGGAGTGAAAATATGTGTATGATGCTTCTATATCCCCTTTCTTTACATGTGTAACTTGGTACAAGAAGAAATCAGTACATGTACCCACTTTGTCACTAAATATCCTCAAATTACCACTTTCACATTATAAACCTTGTTTAGAGACATTTTGGACTGTTTACGTATTGTAGGAATAAATACTATTAGCCCAATACAAAATTCAGCTTTTACTTTATGCCAGGAAGTAATCCTTCATATCAGAACAAGACTGGAAGACATCTACACAATTACCTGGTTTCAGATTTGTTCTAAGATCCCCTTGTACTGTACTATAATTGAGCTGTCAGATTCATCTTTTTGTAATACTCTTCCTTAGCTTTTTTGCTCACAGCTGACATTCTATCACTTGAGCTATACTTCGAATTTGATTTCTGTTGTTGTTGGTGGTGGTATTTTTTTGGAGTATAGAGTCTTAGGGACTGTTCTACGAGGCCTGAATTAGAACCAAATGCTCTGATTATAGACACTTGAGTAGCTAAGATCACAGGGATGAGCCACCAATGCCCAGCCTTATTATTTTTAAGTTAGGGTCTTACTTCCTGTCCTAACATGCACCTGGTCTGTAATCCACCTATTTTATGTGTCCGTCATTTCTGGCATAACCAGTGGTGACACCATCTACAGCTTCCCTGGATTCTATTGGCTGTTTCTGCCTAGACTGAACTGAAACTGCCATCCTCCCATTCTCCAAGTCTCTCAAGTAGCTAGGATTGCAGGCTTGAGCCACTGGTAGCTGGCTCAGTCTTAACATTCTGTGCCCATTTTTCACACATACAGGCACAAGCACACATGTAATTTTCAGTTTCATGCACAGTAGGCTGCTGCTCTGCAACATACTTAAAATACGGGCATCACCCATGCCAATAAATATTTAACAGAATCTTTGATTTTCATGTGTATTGTATTTTATTATATGGAATATATAAATTCCATAATTTAATTATCATCTTTCCTGGTAATAGTTTTATTTATAATATCAGATAATTATATGTAAGTAGAGATAGTCATTTCTAAGTTTTAATTTCTTTTCCTAGCTGTCTGGTTTATTTCTTTTGTTGTTGTTGTTGTTGTTGTTGGTCATGGGGCTTGAACTCTGGGCCTGAGCATTGTCCCTGCGCTCTTCAGCTCAAGGCGAACACTCAACTTGCTTGAGCCACAGCACCACTTCTGGTTTTCTAGTGGTTTATTGGAGATAGAGTCTCACAGACTTCCCTGCCCGGGCTGGCTTTGAACTGTGATTCTTAGATCTCAGCCTCCTGAGTAGCTAGGATGACAGGCATGAGCCACCGGCGCCCAGCTCTAATTTATTTCCTTAGGATAAATTCCTAGAATAAAATAACTGGTTCAGACTTTATGTGTTAATGTTTATCCCTGATCTCACCAGCACTAGACTTTGTAAATCTTCTTAATTATGGCAATCTAATTTGGGGACGTTGATGATGACTAATTTCCTAGGGATGTCTTTCAAGTTTAACTCCTTGTTTTGTTTTATTTTTTACTGGGCACAATATGATAACTTAAAAAATTCATTAATTTATATTCTAAAGGAATACTGTTTATTCCTTAATAAATTTTACTTACTGAAAGTAAATTAAATTTCTTATTTTGTATCTTTTTTTTCAAAAGTTGTAGAAGCATTTTTCTTGAATGATGTAACTGAGCAGTATTTAGAAGTTGAACTTTGTCCGTAAGTATAAAATCATATGATTAGGGAAGAGCTTACTTCCAGCTACATAGAGAGAATGCTAACCTGAACTAATTTGAGTTACCTGCTTTCATCAAATTTAGGACATATTCAGAATATGTGAAGAATGTACATTCCAAATGTTTAAGGATATTATTTTGATGGTATGTTCAGCTTAGTAATATAGTTTTGTAATAAGCATGAAGATATTTTTCCCCAAATGAAAAGTGATTATAACTGTTTCCTCCATTACTTAGTCTTTATTATTTGTCCAGAAATAATACACAAGTATAACCGATGTAACTAGCTTATGAAAATGTTTCTTTTAGGGGATTTTTAACTGCCTAGATTAGGCCTTACTTTCATCAATTTCATAATTGCATATGCAAACATTTATTCATTTATCATTTGGTTTGGGGGCATATGCTCTGTCATTTTTACATTCAAGACGAATAAAAAATCATAAATGGATATTCCTTGACTAATTAAAATGTTAACCTCGGACTGTTTACTTAATAAATGAAATTTTTCTATATATTGTCATTATTCACTTTAAATGCCACCTAGATTCCCAGGAGTATCAATATTTAAGAGCCATCGTTCCTTAGGCCTGGCCAGCGAGCCTCACATCACTGATGTAAATGAAGTTTTAGTTGCCGTTTTACTTTCTTTAGTTTAGCTTTGTTTCCAAGTTTAATGTGGAAAATTTTAGTTTGCAATTACTGTTTTAAAAAGACTACTTATGTACTTTACATGTCATCTTTTAACATGTCAAAATCTTTCATTTAAAACTATGATTAATTCTCATAAACTGCCCTAAGAAGTAAGGACATTTCAGCTATTATGTGATTATGTTCACATTGTCGATGAGACAGCTAAGACAACATTTATAGTTCATTTAAATAACAATAGTTTACCAAGCTCTCAGGTTTGAACCTTAGTTATTTTATTAGATGATAATACTAGTTTTTTTCATAAAGTGATGACCTAGCACTTGATAAATATAATAACTAGATCTTCTTTTGGTAAGAAACTACACAGTAGCCATTGTATAAATTAATGAATTTTAAAGTTTGCAATCCTCAGAGTAGTTTATATATATCAAGATAATTAGGAATCAAGAGTCACAGTTTTTGCTTCTGACCATCTATTCCCGCAAAGGTAATTAACTACAGGTAGGGCAGCATAAAGAAGAATATTGTTTTAAATAGAAGAAGCTTTACTCCTTTATTTCTAAGGCTTCATTTTAAAATCCTAACTTTTTTTGTTGGCTATAGGGCTTGAACTCAGGGCCTGCGTGCTGTCCCTGAACTTTTTTGCTCAAGGCTAATGCTCTACCACTTTGAGACAGCTTCAGTTCCAGTTTTCTGGTAGTTAATTGAAGATTGATAGTCACATGGACTTTCCTGCCTGGGTTGGCTTTGAACCATGATTTTCATATCCCAGCTTCCTGAATAGCTAGGATTACAAGTGTTAGCCACCAAGTTATGCACTCTAATTAGAGTTTGCCTTTGAGAATATGTTCTGTTTCTTTTAAAACATGTGACATCAGAAACTAAACAAAGCTAAACTATAGAAAGCTAAAAAATGTAAGCAGCAAACAGGTCATGTTCAGTTGTGTGAGAAGATAAACTAGGATTAAAATCTTTACCTTGTAAACTGCTTAATCTATATTGTGTACTTTCTACCTTCCTAATGAGTCTCAAGGTCGTTTTCTTCCTGAAGTAGCCTTCAGTAAAACAGCTTCTCTTAGAGGACTTTATTTTTTGAATTTGTGTTTTATTATAAACTCTAAATCTTTCCATTGTTTTTTTCATATTTTGTGCCATCTTACAAATGAAGTGTTTTATGTTTCTATTTAATGACTGTGAAAAGCAGTTTTAGCACATGAAACTTTGTGGTTTGACACAGCAGTTGTCTTTGGTAAATCTGAGGATGTCATTTGCAAGTAAATGAACACACTGTCTCTTCCTGTAATTATCCAGTGTTTGTATTGCCTCATTTAGTCATTTGGAAAGTTAGCTGTAAAACATAAATTCCAGACTTGGAGATAGCAAGGAAAATAAAAAATGCTCTCTCTCAGACTCTCACGAGGAACCTTAATTTTGACAGACATGGACAGCATTTGGTGCTTTTTCTCTCTGGAAGAAGAAATGTGTGGAAGGTAAGTAAAAATATTTTTTAAAATTCCTTAAGTGTATAAGTAGCATATTGTTTCAAGCCTAGGTCTGAATTTACCTTTGTGTTTCGTGTATTATTGTTGTAGCAAGAACTAGCTTTATCATTCAGAGTGTCTAAAGAAGACACAAAATGGAAAGGCAAAGCTTACCTTTCTTGGACATATTTTCCACCAAATGTGACAAAATTCAATTCATTTGCAATTCATGGATCAAACGATAAAAGACACTATGAAGCCTCAGCGTGAGTTGCAGGAAGGACAAGAGCCTGACTTGTAAGGACACTATGTCCAACCATAGACTCTCTGAGCTGTGCATCCCAGTACAACAGCAGTGATACTTTTCAGCTACAGATGTCGTGTGCAAGCCGCTGGTAGGACCCTCTGGTCCTTGGTAGTCCTCTGAATTCTTCATACATCAGCTGCGGACTGACAGTCTCTCTCACTACTATCAGGAGCAGAGTGCTTAGTCTTTCATATCAGGGTGAGGAAAATCTTGTATTAGTTTTATGTCAACTGATAAAGAAGTGTGGCTTCAAATTTCTGATCCTTTTTCAACAATAAATGGTCAGAGAAATAGTGTTTTCTTCCTGGTTTAAGAAAAGGGCCAATAAATCATTTTCTTTGCTCAAATAGAATGTGTACCTTCCCTCCCACCCCCTCACCCCCCTACCCCCAAAGAGAACAACTAGGATTAACACTTGCATATGAACCTCCCTTGCTTTGGAAAAGAAAGAAAGTCAGTCAGTCCTCTAGTACAGATCTGAAGCTTCTAAAAACATTTGCTTATATAGCTGGTAACAGTTGTATCCAAGTTTGAATACAAGAACATATGCTATGCAAGACTTTAGTATAATTGGGTTAATTTAATTACTGAGACAAGGTTTTGCCATAGCTCAGGCTGACCTGGAACTTGCTGTGTAACCCTTGTCAGCTGCAAACCTCTGCCTTGTAAGTGCTAAGATTATATGCATGGTCCACCATGCTGAATGTGGTATATGAGTGAGTTAAGGCTAGATGGAATGAGTTAGGTTTTGAGAGTTGATTTTTGGTTTTCCTTTCCACTTGTGAGGAACTATTCATAGAATTGAAAGGCAAATGCTTTGAGAAGTGAGTATTTTCATAGCTGAATGTTTCATAGCCAGAGTGAGAAAAATTATACATGGGGAATACATCTTGTCTTTGGTATTTCTTAAAATAAAACATGGTTCTATCACAAGTGTGACAAAGTAAGTCCCACTTCAGGACCACTCCTTCAAAAACACATGACTGGTTCCACTCCCCACCTTCTTTTCCTTTGTTTTCAGCCATCGTCTAGAATATTTCAAGCCTTTCAGTTTTAACACACTGTTTGGAGATGAATGGAAGCAACCAGAATCAGACCTATGGCTAACAGAGAAACCTGATGTGCAGGAAATTAATAGATAACAAATCCTGTAAACTATAAATTTCTCTTCACTTTTTAAGATAAACAAATATAATAACTCTTCAGGCGCCATGAACATATTTCAGCCAAAAACATTTTCATACAGATCACTGAAAATATGCTATCTATGTAGCAAATTGTACATGATTAACAAGAAAATGGAAAGATTGTAGATGATTTCATCTACAGTGTTGAGATGGTTCTCATGACTGTCTAATCCAGTATCTAGGATGGTACTGTAGGGGCTGTTGATTGCTGTGTGTAAGCATCATGGAAAGATTGTAGATGATTTCATCTACAGTGTTGAGATGGTTCTCATGACTGTCTAATCCAGTATCTAGGATGGTACTGTAGGGGCTGTTGATTGCTGTGTGTAAGCATCATATCAAATGTCTCTTACCCTCTTACCCATGAACATCAACCAGCTTGAGAAGAGATATTTTAAAGCTATGTAATATATATTAATTCTTCTACTCTGAATCTTGATATTAGAGCATAGTGACCTATTATTTCAGTGGAATAGATTTGTATCTGTTAAGACATCCTTAAGATTCACAAATTATTAAAACAGCTACTTTTCCTGTCTTAGATGGATTTTTACCGTGTATAGAAATAAAGTCTTGAAGTTAAGCAATGGACTCTGCATTAATTTACCAATAAAAGCCGTTTTCTCTATACTGTAAGCATCAAATATTCCTGGTCTAAAAAAGACCCCAATACAGTAATAGTGGATGACTTCAGTAACCCACTCTTCAATACATAGATCATCCAGACCAAAAAAATAAAAATAAAAAAACCTTAGAGTTAAACTGTACTGTAGAACAATAGACAACAGGTATCTACAGACTCTTCTACCCAACAGCAGAAGAGTATACCTTCTTTTAAGCATTTTAGGAAATGTTTTAGACACTGTAAGCACATTGTTGAACACAGATCACTGTCACTGTGGGGACTTACTTTCATCAGATTTTTAGATCTGATACATTCAGCTAAGTGACAGGATATAAAGTCAGGATACAAAAATCAATAGCTTCTCTGTACACCTGAGAAGAAAATCAGGAAAACAATACTATTCATTAGAGTTAAAGCAACAAAAACACAAGATGAAACATCTCTAATGAAAATTACAGACCACTGAAGAAATAAAGTGAAGAAGACACTAGCAGATGGAAAGATCTTTCATGCTCATGGTTTGGCAGAATCGATATGTTAATACTAATCAAAACACTAATGAGCGATGTATGATGACAACTTAGACACAGCTAGTACTTTTCTGTAACTCCTCCACAAACCAGGAACAAAATCATCAGGCTGTGGTAAGACAGTGGTAAGGGAAAGCAAGTGAAAGCAATAGTAAACAGGAAATAACCCAGATGAAATCCAGAAATACTGAGCTTGGACTTACAAAAAAACAATGGACTCTAAAATAGATCACTGAACAAAACAGTTAAAAAGGGAAAATTTCCATCAGAGGGTCTACAAGCAAGAGACTGGTCCAAAATGCAAGTCCTGGACAGTCCATAAACATGTCTCAGCAGCCACTCTACAAAAATAAAATCCACGATCTACCTACATGTAGGACCTAGCTGCAAGAGAAAAGGCCTAGTCTCCTTTCTCTGGAATGTATCTAAACTCGGAGAACTTCCCTATTCTATACCCCACGTGAAGGAAGGAATGACAGGGATCCAGTGTGGCCTCAGGTTCAGCAATGTCCTTGGGAAAGGAGCTTGATCGCCAGCTGGAGCTCAGCTAAAGGCTGACGACTTAATCACCACAACCACAGCCTCAGTGAGTGTGAGGATGGCTGCAGTGGCAGTAGAGCTAGACTTGGAGTGCAAACTAAACACGGGTAGGATGGAAGGTGCACACTGTCTGCAGTCAGGGTCAACTAGAATTCCACATCCTTGGCAGCCCACGCGAGCTACAGAGTCTCGGCTTTATATATTCTCAAGTCCAGCCTGCGGGAGGAAGGGATCCTTTGCTCTCCCACTGGGATCTGACCGAGGGCAACCCTTACACTCCCTGCATTAGCAGGCCTGCACATGGCAGACATGCCTAACTAACCTGGCAGGCAAGGCAAGGCCCAATCTCTTAAACGCCTCCACTCCTAACTCCTTACAAAATCAGGGAAAACAAAACACAGACCAAAGCTGCTTTCCCATAAAGGAAACTGAAAAACCAAGGCATCCGGGTATACCCACTTTCTCAGCAAGGAAGAAATACTGAATGCTGTGTATTTTTATTTTATAGTGGCAGCCATGGTTGGATTGCGGTACTTGTATTGTTATTTTTGTTTCTTCAGATTACTTTTATTGTATTCACTTTACATGTATTCATGCTCATTCTAATTTTTCCAGTATTCCATCCCATATTCTTTTTCTCTCAACTATTTTGCTTCCTTTTTCCTTGTACTTTTTCTAACTCTTCTTTTTAAGTACTTACTGATACCTCTAGAGAGCATAATTTTTTTATATTTTAATTTAAAATTTTATATTGTAGAGATGCTGTACAGAGGGTTACAGTTACATGAGTAGGGTAATGAGTCCACTTCCTATTGAGCATTGTTACTCCCTCCTTTGTTTTTCCCCTGCTATCCCTTCCCTCCTCATCTCCCTAACTCCCCCCCACCCCCACCCCCGCAAGTTTCCAACATAGTGTCTTGTATGTCTCATTGTTACAATGGGTCAACCTGTATCCTTGTTTCAGCATTTTGTTATTTCCCTTCCCCTCCCCAAATTAGGAAGATGTATATACAAGATGCAGGGCACCAGAATCAAGTACAGTGATAACAAGGGGAAGAACATACAAAAGAAACACAAATATCACATAGTACATTAAAAACAACAGTTAAGCAGTGCATCCTATTCTGTTTCATTTTCTTTAGAACCCTGTTTCTAGCACCAAAATTTGGAGAAAGCCATCAATAAATGAGTAAATGATTAATGATTATAAGTGGCCTTATTAGATGTATTCTTTATGTTGATAAGTAAATGAAGCTTTAAACTATACTGAGATTCCATCTCACCGCAGTGCGAGTACATTGCTGGTGAGCATAAGGAACCCGTATATAAAATATATGTAGGACCCTTAGAATGTTGGTGGGGCATAGCCAACATGGAGACTTATTTAAAAAGAACTAAAGGATCCACCATCTCACTCTTCAATAAACTCAGTAGACTCATAACAAGAATGTGCACATCTGTGTCCATCAACTGGTGAATGGGTAAAGAAAACGTGATCTGTCTGTCTGTCTGTCTGTCCGTCCGTCCGTCCGTCCATCCATCCATCCATCCATCCATCCATCCATCTATCTATCTATCTATCTATCTATCTATCTATCTATCTATCCATTCCATAGTGCAGCTGTAAAAAACAGAGTGTCATTTGCAGGGAAGTGGATAGAACAGCAGATTATGTGAAGTGAATTTAGACACTAAGACAAGTATTCATGTTTTTCATATGTGGATTTTCTTCATGTTTTCATATGTGGATTTTTTTCATGACATGTATGTGGAAAGAAGACTTGGAGAAGAGGAAGGGAATCCTGGGAAGGGGTAGGAGTGGGCTGGATGGGGTAGTGGTGGGTAGAAATTGTCAAAACATGCTACATGCATGTACAGTATGCCAAAACAAAGGTTGGTAGTCTGTGTAATTAACATGTACTAGTCATGTATATAAAATTTCTCGTCTAGAGTTTTCAAATATTATTTTGCTTTCTACTGGATCCTGTGACCTTCCATGATGAACACTAGCAATCTTGAAAATAAAGCTTTATTACTTGCAGAGACATTTAGTTGCTACCTAACAGTTTCTCTTTACCAATAGAAATTGAAATTTTAGAGGCTTTGTATAGAATCTCCATTTTCACAGAAACAAAATCCTATATTTCCTCTAGGTAGAAATAACTAAAAGCAGCATAGGTCCATAGACAGAAGTTTAGTCGTACACTGAACTTAATATTGTGGTGAATGACAGAAACCTAGACTGTTCCAATAAAATCGTCATTGACTGTCCCCTGGAACAGACCACAAGCCCGTGGCTTTGATGGCTCTCCCTTCAGTCTGTCTTCTGACCTTGGTCTGACCTTCATCTCTACCATGTATTTCTCAGATTTAACCCCAAGATTTATTTCTCAACAGATTCTACGATGTTTACACAATGGATAAACCTTTATGATTACTGCCAAGATTTGCTCTTACTTATTGAAGAGTACAAATTCCTTCCAAAACAACCTAATGACCATTCTGTTTTATAGACATTTCCCTCCAGGCGATTTTCATGAGTGATAGTTGTGGTAACTCACCTGGTCAGGGAAAAGATTTTCTAATGTTTTCTGATACTGAAGTTGCTGTCTTTCATAGTATGTAAGGGAAGAAGACAATCTTCTTGGAGGGACTTCCAGGTCAATGACAAGGGATAGGCCAGGGAACTAGTTACAGCCTCTGAAGACAGAAGGAGTAATGAGCCGTAAGTAATTTCCCACTGTCCTTAAAAGGAAAGGAAGGGAAAGTCATCTTTACTCAGATGGCTCCCTGCAGCAGAGCCCTGGCTCTCCTGGCTCCTCTGCAGCCCTCTCCCACTGACGGTAGACTAGCCTTGGCCATTCTGCACATGTCATGCTTGTAATGCCCTGGTTGTGATGTTGTGTCTTGGGGAAGATGAGGTAGGTGCTGAGTTCAGTGGCTATTGCTCCTCTATACAAGCGGCACGGCGCTTTGCAAACTCTTCCTGTCTGAACTCCCAGTTGTCTTCGGTCTGAGGGATAAGCCAGTGCTGTGTCTCACTGTCAGCATCATGCTGCGGCCGCCAGCGCTGGGCATATTTTCATCTCTGAGCAGCTTTGACGTGCTGTTTCCTTGAGCTCTAGTTAGCTTCCGTTTGGTGAGCTCTACCACAGACATACCGTGGTATCCTTTGTCAATTATGGCCTTGGAGTTAGAACCATAAGAGCAGCACATGGCCTGAATTATCCCTGACCCCACCAGGCTGTACATTGTGTGAACAGAGCCAGACCCAATCACCTTTGTTTCATAGATCTTCCAGTATTCTTTTACTAACTCTGGCCCTCCACCTCCATCTGGTTATTTGCAGCATGGTGCAATGTACCAATAAAGTCTTGTGACTATCGTTTTCCTAAAGCCAAATTCACTTATCTGAGCAACGAACTTCCATGGGTTTTACATATGTTGGCATATTCGATTCATTTCCTCAAATATTTTCTTATTTATATAAAAACTTTTTATTTTACGGAATAAATGAACTTAGGTTAAATATTTGGCATAGCATAATAGTTCAGATCACACTATTACTTTCCAATAGAAATTATATTTATTTTCATCTGTCATACTCCATACTTTTTGGCGTAGTGATGGAAGTCCATTAGTCAATAAATCATGGGTTCTCTTTGTATAATTTCCAGATTCAGTAGAACAAGTTTTTACAGGTATCATTATATTAACAGCTGTAACTTGAAGATAGGATAGTGTTCTTGGTTTTTTTTGTTTTTGTTTTGTCAGTTGGGCTTTAACTCAGGGCCTGGGTGCTGCCCCTGAGCTCTTTTGCTCAAGGCAGGAGCTCTACCACTTTGAGCACACTTCTAGTTTTCTGGTGGTTCATTGATGATAAGAGTT